CCTCTCCGCTGGGCCAGCAACCCCCGCCGAAGGTTCCGGTCCTCGAAGGTTCCGGCCTCGAGCGCCCCAGGGCGACCCGCGGTGCGCACAGCGCTGCCTCCAGTGGCGGCCTGGACCTAGGGGGCGGGGCCACGCGCAGGGGCGGGGTTTTAGCGTTCTCATTTGGGTCCTGTTCACAAACCTGGTTAAAATTTTCAAGTATTCTCCTTTCCCGCTCCCCCCAAGTAATCCAGGTTTTAATATGGCAAACAAACCCTCTGCAAAAACTGACTGCAGTTATACAGTGAGTCCTCACTGTCCGTGTGACGTAGTCGGTTCCCAGCAACTACTCAATCGCGCACCGAGTTACAAAACTACTACTCTAACGGGATTTTTGAAACGAGCTCCTAAACTTCAACATGCTCAGATTCTCAACACAAAAACATCTTCACGGTGGTCTTGATGGTCTTAAAGTTCCTAACACTCAGCGTTAAAGGTTCCTGGGGCTGAGACAAGTGCCCACCCACCAGAGACAAGTCCTGCCAGGTGGCCTCCCCGCTGAGTGAGCCTCCGGATGAGTCAGAACCCGGTGGGGACTCAGCCCCCAGTCCTTCTCACTGAGCCGCCTCCCACCCAGGAAGCAGCCTGCATCCTGCCTTTGCCTCTTGGGATACAGAAATGCCTCCCCAGGCCTCATGCCTTGATGAAACTGTGGGCATTAATAATACAGATTTATGCATCTGATTGGAGCTGCATCCTTTCTTAGCCTAGGGCTGTGAAACACAAACAAACCCCTGCTGAAGTCTGGGCTTCTCCCACAGCTTTGACTGGAAGAGATCCAAGCAAAACCACTCCAGTGACACAGAGCACTGGGCACACATACAACTTCCGGGCAGGGGGCAGGAAGACCCTTTGGAGGGGCAATCTGACCCAAGACAGGAAGGATAAGGGGCTATGCCAACACACCCCGACATCGCCCAGCGCACCCCTAGCACTATCCTCCCTCACCCTCACACACCCGGCTACCCTGACCCTCTGCACTCTCGAGGCCTCATTGTTTGTTCACTTCCTCCAGAAACCCTCAGGATGGGGTGCCTCCTGTGCCCTCCCATCTCCCCACTTGCTGGCCCTCAGAAACATCTGAAGATGCCCAGGACAAGGGGCAACCACAGCACCCAGAGTCCAGGGGCCCTGCAATGACTGGGCCTGGCGCAAGTTGAAGGCAGAAGCCACAGATGCTGCAGCCCTGAGGCGTAAGGACGACTCTGGACACAGAGGTTTTGACACGTTTTATGTGAGCCACCCACCAGCAGCTGGTCACACCTGTGTCTCACTTCTCCAGGAAGACTCCCCCCACCCCAGCTCCAGCTCAGCCATGGCCAGACCCAGTGACAGTCGTGAAAAATGAGAGCAATGACCCGTAACAATACATCCCAAGTCTCCAGCCAGGCTGAACAGAGGAAAGGATGGTGGCAAGGGCGGAAAGGGCTGGCTCAGAGCCTGGGGCCGTGCAGCTGCGCCTGGGGGTCCAGCAGAGCGATGAGCCGGTCAGCCTCCCTCCAGCCAGAGAGCAGAGCCCCGTGTGTGGTCGAGTAAAACGTCCGATGTGTGGCTTCTCCTGCAAACAGTACCTGGAGCTGCAGAGAAGGGTGGGGTTAGAATGGGGTGCTGGGGCCCAGCAACAGGCCCATGCCTTCCGCTTGTGGCTACAGAGCTGAAGGTGAGGCAGTGGCTTTGCTCTTCACCTAATCCCACGCCCTGATGTGGCCACAAAACAAGAGTGGGTGCTTCTCACGGAAACAGGGCTCAAACAGCAAACATTCGGGATTAAACGTGATCACAAAATGGAAAATGCAACAGAGGGCCTGGAAGACAACGCGGAGAACATCCCTCAACATGCAGACCGAAAAACAGAGATAGAAATTAGGAGAGAAAAAGATAAGAATATTTGAGGACCAGTCCAGAAGTCTACCATTCAAACAACAGAAATCTTAGAAAAGAAAAGAAAGCAGAGAGAAGATGCGATGATTCCCAAGAACTTCCCAGCAGACTGAGGGGCTCAAGACAAGCCATGTGAAGTGAGTGGACGCCTGCCGAGGGTGGCGTGCCTCTGGACTCCGTGGGTGTTGGAGCCTAATGCTCTTTTAAGCTTCCTAAGGGTTTGGAGCACGGGACACAGGAAGAAAGGTCTCCACATGGCTTTGGACTTCCCAACAGCAACAGTGGAAAATGTTCTAAACCCTGAGGGGCATGACTCTCAAACCACGATTTTATACCCAAACTAGGAGACTCCTAAAGAAAGGTGGGGCCCATGTCCTGCCCAGAATGGTGCCTTCTGACTTCTGAGCGTGGTCACAGGAGGTGATGCAGCGCCCATTCCACTGGGACGCCTGTACTGGAGCCCTGGGAAGCCACACGAGCATGTGCCCTGCGGCTGTGTGTGTGTAGAATTCTGATGAAGATAATACATTTTAAAAGTATTCTTGATTTCCAAAAAGAAAAGGGATTCTCCTGACTGGCGTGGCCCAGTGGTTGAGCGTTGACCTATGAACCAGGAGGTCACGGTTTGATTCCCAGTCAGGGCACATGCCCGGGTTGTGGCCTGGACCATCAGAGTGGGGTGTGCAGGAGGCAATGATTCCCTCTCATCATTGATGTTTCTGTCTCTCTCTCCCTTTCTCTTCCTCTCTGAAATCAATGAAATTATATTTAAGAAACAGAAATCTCAGCCCTAGAAGAAGGGGTGACCCACCCTCCTGATTTGCATCCAGGGGCCACACCATACCTGGGCCTTCTCTCTGTCCGCAGGGAGGGGCTGAGCCAGCAGGTCAATGTCGTCCCCGGTGCTGCCCACGGCCACGTAGCTGTAGGAGCCTCTGCAGTAGGGGGCGCTGTGCCAGCGAGACCTCAGCACACTCTTGGGCGCAGGAAGCTGTGGGTTCCCTGAACCACAGAGATGCCACACGTGAACGGGGACTCCTCCCACAAGCCTGCAATTGGGCCTTCATTTTCAAGACTGAACAGTTTAAAATGAAAGAAACTGCCCAGGAAGAAAACCAAGCCACAAAGTGTATGAATAAAAGGCTCTCCCAGTCTTATCCACTCTGTCCAACTGGGGACGCCATCACTGCATCCTCACTCCATGTGACCATGTGGTCACTATGTTCTGTCTGAGCCTCCATGTCTTATCTTTAAAGCCCTGGTTAAGGGCCGCTGTATTTATTTTGGTGGCATATTTTAGAAAAGGGAAGTGAAAAAAAGTGTTTGCAAAGCCATCTCAGTTGCTCAGGAACAAGAACTCAGATAAGTGACCCCACCAATATAAGGAAGGATCGTCCCTGGAGGCTCAGAGAGGCAAACTCAGTTCTTCACTGTTAGGAAGTTTGGTTCCCCTTTAGAGGTCATCCAACAAGGAGCACAAGGCAGAGCCATGGCCATGCATGGTCAGTACCTGTCACCCGGCGAAGCATGCGTGTCAGAGACAGAAGCACCTCCTCATCTGACAGTGTCTCCATGAACTCAGACTCAAGTCCAGCGATGAACCCACAGAGGACGTGGGAAGACCTACGTGGAGAACACACCACTGAGACAACCCATGTTGGGCTTTGCTGGAAACATCAGTCCCTCCCTCCCTAGTGATTCCTGTTTTGATTTCTGAGTGAGCTCCAAGCCCACACGCGTTGCTTTGCTTATGCTGCATGTCTGGGACACACGACTGAGCCCTTCCAGTGCGGCTCTCTGATCCCATGACTTAGAAGGATGCTTTGTTCAGTGACTGCACCGGGTTTAAGCACTGCCTCCCAGTGACAGACACGTCCACATTTCAGACTTCTGTGACCTACAAGCCCCAGCTTGTATTTCAGCAAATACTTTCTTACTGACTAAACATGCCTTCCATCCACCAGCACATTCCGGGCCTCAGCAATGCTGACAAGCCACACAGTGTGCCCATCTGTCCCACAGGGGCGAGGCCCAGGCGGTCTGTCTATCATCAGCCCTTGGGGAACCCTCAGGCTCCCCACCATGAAATCCTCCAGACCCCTCACAGTGAATCAACCCAAACGGTGCCCAGGAGCCAGCCCTCTCAGCACGCAGGCTTCCTCAGAGAAAGGGGAGCAGACATACTCGAAGGAAGGCAGGACCAAAAAGCCAATCAGCTTCTTGACCCAGGCGTCCTGCAGCGGGGGAGCGGTGTCCTCCAGGGGCGATGTGTCCTCCCACACCACCTGGATGTGCTCGCAGTCCGGCTCCCAGAAGGGCTCTTCAAACTCCAGGAAGACCTTATTGTTGGTCCCAAAGCCCATTTTCCTGATCGCTTCTGCCTTCTCAGCGGGCAGTGGCGGCTGGAAGAAGGTGTCCAGATGTTCTTTAAGAAAACCTGGAATTTATCATTGGACTCGAATTACACCACAGAAATATCCATAACTGGGATCAGCAACCACAGAAACCCACCCTGAGCCCGCAGAAGAGTCAGAGAGAGGCCTCTGTAGGAATGGAGTCTCGTGTCTGACCCTTCTGCCTCTCACCCCCTGGAAAGCACACCCCTCAGGATCGTGGGGAGCAGCAGTAAGAGGCACAGCACAGGCCTTTTCAGAGGCCACATAAAAACAATCTGCCAGATGAAAAAATTAATGTAGCCAGGTCAAACAAAACAGGAAGAAACAGCCACAGTGGAAGCCAATCCCTTAAGATGCACATAACTCGCTAGTCAATGAGAAAAGGATTGACAACCCACAGGAAGCCAGGCAGGGGGTAGGGAGGACCAGAAGGGGTCGCCACACCCTCCACAGCCATCCCCACCTGTCCAGATCTTCAACTCAGGTCCTACAGAAATATCCGTATAGTGTTCTTTCATATATATATATTTATTGATGTCAAAGAGGAAGGGAGAGGGAGAGAGAGATAGAAACATCAATGATAAGAGAGAATCATTGATGGGCTGCCTCCTGCACATCTCACACTGGGGATTGAGCCACAACCCAGGCATATGCCCTGACAGAAGAACCTGGGGCTAGGAGGGCCTAGGCAGCCGCTGTGGCTATGAGGGCCAAGACCCTTTCACAAATTTTGTGCATCAGGCTCTAGTCTACACTAATAAAAGAGAAACATGCAAATTGGTGTCACTCCGCTATGCTCACCAGCTAATCAGAGCGACTATGCAAATTAATCCAACAAAGATGGCGGTTAATTTGCTTACGCAGGCGCGGAGCGAAGACTGGAGGCTCCGGCCGGAGTGAAGACTGAAGACTGAAGCCAAGCCTCACTGCTGCAGCCGGACCAAAGGCCTGGGTCCCGGGTGCCAGAGGTAAACTGGTGCCAGCAGTCAGGGGAAGAAAGGCCTATTGTGCGAATCTTCATGCAACGGGCTTCTAGTTAAGTAATATTAAGCAATGGCACCTGCATAGAAGAAAATTCTATGTGGCTGTAAAGAACAAGTGTGGTACAGGCCTGGCTCCCTGTGAGCAGTATGGACAGTCGTAACAATGCTCCTACTGATCACAGCGAGGACTCAGTAAGCACCAGCAACTATGAATGAACAAAGGGATAAAAGAAAGAAAGAACGAAAAAAAGAAAGGAAGGGAGGGAGGAGAGAAGAGGCAAATGGAGCAGCAGAACAAGATTCCACTTGTGGGACGTGGAGGAGACTTTATTTTAAGTCAGCTCTGACTCCTGCTTTGTGAACTTGGGCAACTGACTTATCTCTGTTGACATTTGTCAAACAGGGGATGGGGCCAGGTAAGTCCTCAGGCTGCCTCAGGGATAAATGAGACAACGCTGACAAAACTTTGATTTCAATCATCTCCACTTTTTATCAAATTGCACACTCCTCCTCAAAGTCTCTGTCGAAAGCATCATCTCTAGAATTAAATAGATTATGTACTGGACTCCTTCCTTGATGATGGCTGGACCTAACCTTGAGGTGTGGCTTTCATGCTGTCTCCCAGGTGAACCTCCATCAGGAGACCTCCCAACCTTTCCAGAAAAGACCTCCAAAGGATGAGAACAGCTGACTTCCCCTTTCTCTGTGAAAGTCCTATTTCCAAAGCCTGGGATTGCTACAAAACACAACAGAGTCATTCTATCCAAGACTTAGAATGAGAATGTGAGCTTAGCAGCCAGGCAAAGCCCCAGCGCCAACGGGAGAGAGCCAGAGGCCAGGGCACTTGGGGCGGAGAAGGGAGGAAACCCTGACTGGATGGTGACCTTACCTAAGGGCACCGTAAGGACCACGTGATGTGCTGGGAAGCAGTCTCCATCCTCACACTCCACCAACACTGGAAACTTCTCCCCAGGAGACTCAGCTTCTTGGAAGGACCCATTCCAGTGAATAGTCTTCACGGGCTTGTTAAAAACCATCACCTCCTGGGGCAAGGAGGCCATGATGCAGTTTGTGAGTCCTTGGTAGCCCCTGGGGGAGACAGGTTGTTGAGACTGATGAGAGGACCAGCCTGGAGGGGAGACACTAGAACAGCCCACCCAGAAGCTGCAGCAGCTCTGTCCCCACTCAAGCTCTGCAGGAGGAGGCCGGGAAAGATCAGGGAGGGCCAGGGGACCTCCTGCCAGGCTCCGCCCTGTGGTTTCTGATCCACCACAGGAATGTTAATACCTGCCTCCTAGCTAATAGGAGGATGAAATGGGCAAAGTTCCCAAGGTAGTGGTTCTGCACAAAGGCCCTTCCCTGTGCATGGGGCCTGGGAGGACACCTGGGAGAGCCCAGTGGGAATGTCTCACTAGTGCCTGGGGGCAGACTGAGTCCCCCTTAACCCTCCCACCACTCCCCTCCAGGGAAGGGCCCCTCACACAGTGCTGAGCACCTGGGGGCCCTTGTAAACACAGGAGGAAGAAAGCATTACAGGATGCATTTCCTTCTTTTAATCACTTTTTCTTGAAAATCATTATTTCCCTTTTCTTAAATGAGAAAAATTGGGGAAACAAATGACCAGCTTTCTAAAAAGAGAAAGCCCTAGGTGGTGTGGATAGAGCGTTGGCATGCAGACTGAAGGGTCCCAGGTTCGATTCTGGTCAAGGGCACATGCCTGGGTTACGGGCTCAATCCCTAGTAGGAGGCATGCAGGAGGCAGCTGATCAATGATTCTCTCTCATCATTAATGTTTCTATCTCTCCCTTCATCTCTGAAATCAATAAAGATATATTTTAAAAAATAATAATAAAAAGAGAAGACAAAAGTCCCCCTTGACCCTCCCACCACTCCCCTGCCTCCCAAAGCTTCACCAGAAGTACATGGAGGGGG